AATAGACATCTCCCCATGCTCTTTCTGAAATCAACTGCTTATTGACATGAAACAGTAAAAAGGCACCTTGCACTGACATTAAGTTAGAGATGTTTTAGTACATAGAATAGTGATCATTCCTTTGTGATACTGTTGAGCCTGCACCTGAAATCCTGTGGTCAATTCTGAGCCCCTCAATGCAAGAAGGACATTGAGGTGCTGGAGCATGTCCAGATAAGGGCAGTGGAGCTGGGGAGGGGTCTGGAGCACAACTCTGGTGAGAGGCAGCTGAGGGTGTTTAGCCTGGTGAAAAGGAAGCTCAGGGAGGATCTTATTTTTCTCTACAACTGCCTGAAAGGAGGGTGTAAGCCATGTAGGGATTGATCTCTTCTCCAGATATCAATGACAGGACAAGAGGAAATAGCCTCAGGTTGTGCCAGAGAAGGTTTAGATTGGCTATTAGGAAAAAGTTCTTCATGGAAAGGGTTGTAAAGCATTAGAACAGGCTGCCCAGGGAGGTGGTAGAATCCCCATCCCTGGAAGTGTTCCAAAAAACGTGGATATGGCACTTGAGGACGTGGTTTGGTGGTGAACACGGTAGTGGTGCATTGTTGACAGTTGGACTTGATCTTAAAGGTCTATTCCAACCTTAACAACTCTGTGATTCTACATTGACTCTAGGTTTGACAATACCCAGAGAACATAAGCGCAGTCATCTTTACAGGCAAAAGTAGTATCTTTTCTCACTCTCTAACCTATGCAAATAGGAGAAATATAATATGTGCATTAATCACATTTATTTTTATGACAGATCACTGGTTTCTAATCTTTTCTTTCCAGGAAGACAATCAGCATCCTTCATGTGACAATGCCACCTTGACTCTGCAGCCTATTTTTCTAATTTTAGTTACTGCCTTACTGAATATTGATTTTGTGATGGTTTTACCTGGGCTAAAAATAGTGCAAAAGAATTGTTATAAACCACACAGACAGACCTACATACCACAGCCCACACTCCATAAAAAAGAAGATACGCTTGAAAAATTTCTTGTACAGCCTCTCAGATGAAAACTACGGGAAGTTCTTCATGGAATCCATTAGGGTTGGAGGGGACCTCTGGGGATAATTCAGGGCAACCCCCTTGCCAAGGCAGGGTCACCAGACACAGGAGTGTCCAGGTGGGTCTGGAATACCTCCAGAGAGGGAGAGTCCATGACCTCCCCGGGCAGCCTGTTCCAGTGCTATGCCACCCTCATTGTAAAGATCTTCCTCATGTTGAGGCGAAACTTATTGTCCTTTAGTTTATGGCCGTAAACTCCTCATCCCGTCCCTGAGCACCACGGGAAAGAGCCTGGCACCATCCCCTTGACACCCACCTTTGAGACATTTATGAGATCCCTTCTCAGTCCTCAGTTCTCTGGGCTAAATAGGCTAAGCGCTCTCTTTACTGTGAGGGTGGCGAGGCGCTGGCATGCGTCGTCCAGGAAAGCTGTGGCTGGCCCATCACTGCGAGCGTTCAAGGCCGGCTTGGATGCGGCTTTGAACCCCCGGAGCCTCGTCCCTTTCCCCCTCCCCCCGTCCCTCTCCCCCTGCCTCCGTCCCTCCCTCCCTCCCTCCGTCCT